TAGGACTGAAATGAGGAGAGTTTTTTTCACCTAGAGAGTGGTGAGCCTGTGATTCTCTGCTACAGAAAACAGTTCAGCCTAAAACATTGAATGTTTTCAAGAAGGTGTTGGATATAGTTCTTAGCGCTAATGGAATCCAAAGGCATTGGGAGAAAGCAGAAACAGGGTACTGCGTTGTATGATCAGCCATGATCAGATTGAATAGCAGAGCAGGCTCAAATGACAGAATGACCTACTGCTCCTATTTTCTACGTTTCATTGTTTCTGTGTTGACTTTAATCATTCTTTTAGCTAAATGATTTAGTTCACACTTATGGTATGGATCTTCTCCAATGTTTCCGGAATAGAATTGAATAACTATCTTGTTTAAATTTGTTTAGCATGATATGACATCCTACCAATGTCAATTTCAAAATAAGCTACTGTTTGTGGAATTTATTTGATGTTATTTTTTAGGAAGAATAGCTGTATTTATGCTTGTTCTCACAAAGTGACAGAGGTGGTGAAGTCATGAGGAATGATACAAAGCACATCGCATAAAGGTGGAAATCATGTTTAAAAGCCTGACCTGGGTATTGGTAATTGTTGTTATTGAAACCCTTATGTATGAAGCAAAAATCAGCCCTGAATATTATAAAAAAAAAGGTAGTTTTGAATGCTTTGTGGTAGCTTCTTTAGGAAAGCGCTTCACAAATGTTATCAAAAATATTTGGCAGAATTATAGGGATTTTTAAAATTTTCTATCTGCTACAGCTATCAATTACATTTCAACCAACCACAGCTGATCTTGAAGTATCAAATAAGCACAGGAGTCTGAAAAACAAAATTAAATAGCAGTTGAATTTTAAAATAGTATTACAATCTTTTTAATAAGAGAGGCTGTAATGAGAATAATATCTTGAGAATTATTTAACTTGAAATTATCTTCATTCTATGATTTTTGACAGACACCAACAATGTACACAATGCTTCCCTTGAAAAGAATGGAAAACCTAATCCAAAAATATGGGCATTTTGTCTTTTTTTCAGGAATAGTTTACATTGGCAAATCAGTTTTGAGGTGAAGTTGCCATTGTGAACATGGTTGAAGGAATATATAGTGTAGGCTTTAACACAGGCTCTAAATCAATACCAGCTGTCTGACAGGACCTGTGTTGTTTGCCAAAAGTTTCACTGCAGCAATCTCTTGCCAGACAAGGAATCCAGAATGTAATGCCAAAGAAAACATTGGTCATTGGCCAGGGTACTCCCAAGACCTGGCAAAGAAATGAAAACTGCAATCGTAGACTTGGCATGATGTTAAGGAATTGAATAGATGCTACAAAAGGTCACATCATAACTGGTGAAGTATGACTTGAATATTACAACCACTAACCTATAAATGTTAATTTGGGTACAAAGTCCCAAAGTTTTCAGTCAGGATCACATCAGTTCGATAAGGGATGATACCAAACTTGGTTTGTATGGACAGTTAGGTTCAATACAGGTCAGTAGAAACAAAACTGAATCTGATTTTCTAAATTTTCACAATGGCCTGGATTTTGTGGTTAATGGTGAATGAACAGTATCAACCATTCATTATTGCTAACTTTTATCCATACATCCATGTGTTTTGCACAGGAATGAATAGTGATTGGTGAGCTACATTGGTATATCACCCTCTAGAGGGGAACAAGGAAAGCAGCTATGTAGCTCCTCAATTATTCAAATTTAAACATATGTACTAAGGCATGTAAAATCTGAACCAGCAAGTATAGGATGAATTTTACAGAAGGATTTATAGATTGCCAGTCTGGTCAAAAGATCAGTAAGCACCATGTCAACTTTAAATCTGGATGCCTCACTGTAATAAGACACAGGGTCAACCTTTACAAGGTACTTAGGAACACAGGATCAGGAGTAGGCCAGTCAGCCTATTCCACCATTCAGACTATGGCTGATCTGTGGCCAAACCTCATATTCCTGCCTTTAGCCTATATCTCTCAATACTTTTGCTTAACAAAAATCTATCTCATAGTTAAACTTCCACCCTCAGGCAAAGAAAGTATTTTATGATTGGCCAGCAGCCTTGTTGTCAGAGCAGTGCCAGAAGCAAGTACTGGCCACTGCTGGGATTATGAGGAGTTCCCAGCAAGGAGGAAATAAGATACTAGACTTTAAGGAAGATAAGGTATTTTGGTCAGCATGGAATGATACATCCATGCATCGTAGTAACTGGGAGGGTTTTAGAGACACATATGAGAATGGGTGGGAGGCTGCATACATAGTATCTTATGGTGAAAGGCGTTGCTACTCATGGGCACAGGGGAACTACTGCCCACAAAAGAAAAATTCCCACTTTACTACCTGCCTTTACCCTTACAGTGAAATCTGCTGAGCTGGCTACTTTTCTTTCCCCATCCCCTGTTACACATAATTCTGTGCTGAAGGTGAAAGTGACATCCTTAAATAGCCATTAAGGTGCATGCCTTAATTAACCAAGCCCCATAATTTGGGAGACAGATTGGGATGAACAGGAAGGTAGTAGACTGACCACAACTTTATTTTGACTACACCCACACCCCGTCACTGTATCTCGTTTGCGTAGGTTTAGTCTCAAGAAAGATTTTCAACCGTTCACACCTGTCAACACATATTTTTCATCCAGATCCCTCCTTTATTACCATCAGCACCTCTTTGTCAGTTGCTCTATGTACCCTCATTCTCTGTTCCATTCTTTATTTCTCGTCCTTTGTCAATAGCATAAAAATGATCATTTTCAGTTCCAAAGAAATGTCACTGATCTCAAAAATGTTTACTCTCTTTTTCTCTCCACACGCAGCACAGTGGCTCAGTGGTTAGCACTGCTGCCTCATAGCGCCAGGGTCCTGCATTTGAGTCCACCCTCAAGCAACTATCTGTGTGGCGTTTGCACATACTCCCCATGTCTGTATGGGTTTCTGCCGGGTGCTCCGGTTTCCTCCCCACAGTCCAAAGCTATGCAAGTTAGGTGGATTGGCCTTGCTAAATTGCCCATAGTGTTCAGCGATGTGTAAGTTAGGCATGTAACCATGGGAAATGTAGGGGTACAAGGAAAGGGTAGCATTATGGGTCTGGGTGAGATGCTGTTTGGAGGGTTGGTGTGGACTTGTTGGGCCAAATAGCCAGTTTCCACTCTATAGGGATTCTATTCTATGGATGCTGCCAGACCGGTTGCATTGCTCAAACACTTTCATGTGACCAGCACATTCAAATATGTTTGTCTGGGGAGGAAGTATAACATTTATTTCCATAATTTAAAATAAGTAATTCTGTGAAGTCAGGTACAGAAAGCAAAACAAAGAGAAAGAAATAAAGTCATGAAAGATAAGACAGAGGAAATAAACAGAAACAGTGTTAAATTTATTTTATTTAATCTTTCTAATATCTCAAACAATAAGTATGAGGAGTGTGACCACATACTTTTAAAATTAAGTTTTAGAGTAGAGTAGGTAGAGTAACTAAGACTTAACATGCTGTTAAAAATTTACCTCCGCAGGAATAGACAAGCTTTCTTTGCTTTGTGTTAAGTCAGTGCATATCTATTATGTAGATACAGTAACTTCATGCCATGCCATAAGTTTAAATGCGATGGCCATTACCAAAATACTGGTTCGAAGAAACTTCTGGAGGATCTGGGCAACGTAGGCAGCAACATCAAAAATTCTACCTTTAATGGTGGGTGCTGGAAATTTCTGTCCAATTTACTCTTTAGTAATAGTAAGGTCTGATAGCTTTATTGTTTCTTTTACCACAATATCTGTGCCAATATCTTGTGTTAAACTAGGTACTGGAAAGACATTCAATAAGGGAAGGATAATTAGGTACCGTTGAATTTTTTCTCTTAGAAATTCTAAGTGAATAGACTTGATTCACTTAATTTAAATAATATGAAGTTGGGAAAAAAGTCCAGTTTTTGCAATGTATTAATGTGGCCAAAGACTGTAAATACCACAGTCAACCATTTAAAGAGGAAACAACCAAATGATGTTTGAAATGTCATTATTTGCATGTGTTGAAATAGTGCTTGTTGAGCTATTTACAATTTAATTGCTCTAACATAATAAATACCAAGATTACTGTAATTGGAAAAGCTTACTAGAACATGCTTTAAGAAATGGATTATTGCAGATGATAAGATTTAAGTTTACCTCCAGCAAAATAAAGTTTATTGTTGTTCCCAAGGAAATTTTTGTACGAAATATATTGTCAGCAGTTATAAAGGATACAAATAACAGCACTTGAGATGCAGTGGGAATGGGTAACAGTAAGAATTATTCTGAATGTCAGCTGTTTTTGACCCCATCTTTGTAAATTAATCCACATGCTGAGTACATCACTGTGGAGTCCTTTATTGCATTGACCCCGTTCTATGTAGGTAAAAGGAATTTGCCCATATATTATACCTTTTCCGTTGAAGAAAGGGTCGTAGAGACTGCCAACCATTGCAGCATTCGCCATGGCAACACCCTGACCAATCAAAATTCACAATCTAGTCTGAATTTTTTTCAGCCAGCTGAGATTAACAGTTAACAGTTGCTGCTGCATCTCCATGCCAACCATGGTTCAATCAATTTGTGTTTTTTTCTCATGCTGTATAAATTGATGTTCACGTTCCAAATTTATTTTCTTGTGTGTCCCCTCTGATGTGTGCAAGTCAAAAAACTTAACTTCATTTTTTTATTGCAATATTTAAATCCTGTATGATCAAGCAATTATCTGTAACTAGAATGTTAAAAAGTTAGCAGTTCTCATAATTCATTTGTCTGTATAACATAAATAGCCTTAATGGCTATGTTACAGGGGTAGGTGATGGCCTAATGGTATTATTGCTAGGCTATTAATCCAGACACAAAGATAGTGTTCTGGTGACCTGAGTTTGAATCCTAAAAGTAGTGAAATTTGAATTCAGTAATAATCTGGAAATAATGATGACTATGAAGATATTGCTGATTGTCAGGAAAACTTATCTGGTTCTCTTTAGGGAAGGAAATCTACTATCCTTACCTGGTCTGGCTGATATGTGAAAATTGCTGGAGCACAATTTCTGTGAGTTAACCTTATCTAATAAGAACTGAAATTTGTGTTTTTTTTTACTATATTGAGTTACCAAAGCGCACATCTCAAATTAAAATAGGCTACCGATGCTTGTTCACTGGAGAACACCTCAAAAATCCATTACATATCTTGTCAATTTAGTTGCTGAGATTATCACAACTTGAGACCATTTTCTAAGGCATAAACTACCAGTTGAATCTATTACATTAAAATTATCTACAGTAGCAAAAGTATAAGCCAAGTATTAGACAATAACTATCCTAACATAATAACATAATAAGCTAGATTTTTAGAAAGCTCATTTCAGCTATTGTACTTTTGAAAAGAGCAGTCATTATAAAGTCCCAGATTAGCCTTATCTTGGGTTTTGGTTCAGTATTGTGTCATAGATATTTTTTAATCAACCTGCTTAGAGAGTTATTACACACCCCTGGAGCATATGGTTCTGGAATGTGGACCTTTTGGCTCAGAGGTAGGGACAGCATCATTGCACCACAAACACCCTACTGCCCAATCAGGCATCAAACCCAGCCATAACAACAACCAGTAGACCACAAGGCTGCGTCAGTTTAAACTGTGTTCTTGGAGTAAGATGTTGCATAGATTTGTGTGCCAAATACCTATGGAACACCCTGCATTTTCATTAGAATTGGAGACTAGCAACCAGAATTGGATTATTTATGCTTCTGACATGCTTTAAAGTACGGATATTGTTTTGAAGAAGTCAAGCAAACAAAATATTAAAAATTTTCATACCTTGGTGGACAATAGTATATTGTTATGTAGCAGTGAAATTTTAGTTTTTGCATTTTGATTTGGCATTAATCACATATTAATTTTCAATCACATTGTTCCCCATCACAGGAATCTCCTTATTGTTTATATCATGATCAAAAACCTTGGAAAGCATTGCAAGATCTTGATTTTTTTTAATGAGTTTTATGAAAGCAATGCTGCTATTTTAACTCTGATTGTTTAAACTATAGAAAACTAAAGACAGATACTTAGATGCATATTCTTTGATGGTCTCAGGCTGAAACCAACAATTGGATTGGATCCACAATTGTAACTTCACAAATACTTAAACTTTACAGGTTCCAAATGAGATAAAGTTTAATAAACTATACATAGAATTTACTGCACAGAAACAGGCCATTTGATTGAACTGGTCAATGGCAGAATTCATGCTCCATTTGGGCCACTATCCACCTTAGAATGCCAGAAAGTTCTATCTGCATTTGTAAAAAAGTATTGTAACAAATTAACAGTTTCTTGCATTGTCTGTTGCAAATAGTATCAGTAAAACCAATTGTTCTTGTGTAATATCTGCATCAAGCATAGACCCAGGATACATTTTAGCAATCCATCCATGCATTTGTCAGGATTTAAAAATAACAAAATTATAGAGCTTTTTCTTTCACTTTTCCTAAAAGTACAACGTTTCCCTGAAGTAAAATAGTAGGACACTTAAAACAGCAGCTAAAATTCTGAGTTGGCTTAATCTGGACTAAATCCAAAATACTTTGAATAAATGGGAGTTTAGTAAACTTGAGCACTTTGTTTCTATTTGTCCATTCACCAGTGTCTCCATTTCCTGTGCTTAAGCCTCTAGCTGTAGAATCTTGCACTGTTATAATGAGGAATGTATTAAGATATTCTCCAGTGAAACACCCATCACATCATAGTCCTTTTCAAAAGACAAAGTGTAGCTGTTCATGTGTGGACAGCTTCAAACTATTTTGTATTTAATCTCTTTGCAAAACAGTAGACTGTAGGAATCAACACTTTTAGTCTTAGAAGTAGCAAGAGTGAAAACACTGAAGGGTTATTTTTATTCAAAAAAATACAGTTCATGTTTCTTTTGGCTGATTTTTAATAGTCTATAACTGAAGTGTTTCAAATTCAGTATTCTGCTCCCTGGGCTGACTGGAAAATCTCAACGTTAAAATACATTGTCTACTATTTGGAGTTAAATCTCCTGGAGAGAAAGCCAAAGAATTGCACAATTGCTTTGCAAAGAATGCTATAAATGGATTCAGTTTTCAGTGTGATGAGATGTTAGTTGAAATTTTATGCTTATATTTGGACTTTTGGGAAAACTGTTGCTATTATGAAAGGGTAATCTCATCTCGCAAGACAACTGATCTGCTGAGTGATGGATGATGATTTGGTGTTATGTCTTGGCATGCACATCAACTATTGCATGTTGTCAACTAATGTATTTAAATGTACCTAATTCAGCCCTAAATCACTTGGGACACGTTTACATTGCAGCAAACAGATGAAGACTTTTCCTCAGCAAGAATCACAACTGTTCAATGAGGGAGTTTGTCATTTGGCTTTTTAAGGGAGTAAATTTTAGAAGTCCCTGGATGAACACCACGGATTTCTGAATGACATTTTAGCTAAATGCTTGCATACTATCATGACAAGGTGGCCTGTGGATTGATGGGGTCCAATATTAATTGATGGACTGTTAATATGATGAAAGTTTCTGAGGGGACAGAGGTTGGAATTGTTTGATCAGAATCTGTGCTCAGAACTGAAGCAACAAATTTTAACTTCTGGGCATTACACTGTGGATGTGATATGCACTCACAGGACTCAATGTCAACTCTTAATTCAAAGGGACAAGAAACCAGTAAAGCAGATGGTTGTCATGGTAGATGCTGACTCAGAAGTAAAGAAAGTGAGCAGACCCAGTAATGCATCTCTGTTAAGAGCAGAAAGAATGAACAGTTTCCCAGTGGTGAGAGAAAGAAACCTGATGTAATCACTGAAACACCTAAAACATTAAAATACATGTTTTTCTGGGCAGTTTGTACATTTTCACTTCAAATATGGTGCCGTGATCCATCTGCGGTTGCACCTGCAAGTCACACCAGCTCCTACTATCTTTGCAGGTAAGCTTTTAATTCAGAATGTTCAACTCATCAGTTTGATTTCAGTGGGAAAGAAAGGCAAACTATCATTCCATGCATTATCTGCCAGAAACATAGAGGTGACTCAAACAATAAAAAATTTGAATTAGTCTTTGCACAAACAGCAAAATATTCACAAATAATCACTGACATGGTCAGGGTCTCATGTTTTATTTTCCTCATTCCTTTTCACTTTTACAATGCAGGTTTGGCATCTCAGTAATTAGCTTGCATAAACTGTAAAAAAACAGCTTTAACACTGGAAATGTTCTAAGAAACTTCACAGAGGGGTAATTGATAAATAAACAAATATTGAATCAAAGGAGGAGCAAATGTGCGTGTGCACACAGTTACTCTACCAATGGTGGCACTGGCAACAAACACAGCCTTTTCTGGGAGTCAACAGTAGCTGAACTGTTGTATTCTTATGATGACCCTGGCAGTAATGTTTACATCTGATCTGGTAATCATCATTTTCCTCCTCCATGTTCTCCTTATCTGAAAATGTGTGATAAGATTTGATTCTCTTCCACCTGCCATTCTAGTTGTGGAGATCACAGCACACCTCTTCTTTTATGCAGTCCTTCAGGATCAGGAGGGCTCCATCTCCATGGGTTCTGAAATAAAACAAAGAACTGCAGATGTTGAAAATCTAAAACAGAAACAGCAAGTTCTGGTGAAACATAGCAATTTTGGCAACATCTTTAGAGACAAAAAAGAGTTAACGTTTCTTCCAAACTTAAAGAATTTCACCAGTTTTTACAAAGTATCACCAAACTCAAAATGTAAAATCTGTTTTTCTCACTACAGATGCTGCCGGACCTGCTGAATTTCTCCAAAACTTTCTGTTTTTGATCCATGGGTTCTGAGATGGCTGAAATGTCAAATGTGCAGACTCAGTCATATGCAGGGCATATCCACGAGGGTTGGGTAGATGGATATTTGGATGTTTAGGTGCTCCCTCCAATACCTCAAGTTTACTTCTACATATTCTCAATTATATCACTTGATATATTGGTTGCCTCCTCAAATGCACCTTTTCCATTTTGGTCATTCTCAAGCCAAGGTCCCTTATCATTTGATAAGGATGTCTAGCCTCTTTATAGGGATCTGAAGGCATCTGTAAAGCATTGCCATGTTTGTCCTAAGAGTCTGCTGCTGTGGAAAGTCCTATGTAGGATAGTTGCTTTGGGAATCTGGTGTCAGGCAAGCTAATGGCAGGAAACATTCAACAGAGCTGGCTTTGAGTGATTGGTAGCTTGAGAGAGGATACTGCTGTAGGACCACCTTTGTAGCTTCCAAATTTAGAGGAACTTACAAAGCCACTTTGCATTTTTCTCCAGTGCTTTGAGGTGCTTGCTGTGGGTTTTCCAAAGTTCTGAACCCATGTGAAACTTCTCTGCACAATCATTCAGAGACTGAGCTCCAGTTCACTGTCTGCTCCTTCTCCGAAGCACATAATGAAATGAATCTTGCTCTGAATATCTTCCAATTAACTCCTTTACTAAAATACTTCTTCCCGTCAATGAAGATCACAGCACTGCACTATCTCCCTAAACAGTCTTGATGCAGAATACAAAAGATCTATCTAGCACCCAAAATACATTGATTCCATAGACTTCCTCAATGACTGGCTGGTACTCATGTGGCTCTCACTGTAGTACTCCTGCTCCTCTTTGGTGTGGCTTCTCACACGTTCATGAACCAAGTTTGAAGAGGACATACCTGCTTTCCTGTGAACCAGCCCATCTGCTTCCTGGAATGAAAAGTCTGGGATGTTGGACTGATGCCATAAGAATCATCACAGTTTCCAGAGAATCTGACACAGACTTGCATGAACCTCCTCTTGTCGTTGTACGCCAGCTGTGCATTGATAGAATAATATTCCTTCTGGTTTATTAAAAACCCCGAGTTGTTGTGGTGGTACTTGTATTGCAACCTGAGTGTAGTCGATAGCAATTCCTGTTGGATTTCAGTCAGACACGTGAATCTGAGCTGGGGAATGTTCGGATTATCACAGGGGATGTTCCAGCTCTGGCAAGTCATCCATCTGTCACCTGCCTTATATAAATATATGAAACCTTGAGATGTCTCTGGTAGCTCCAGATAGGAAACAGGAGCAAAAGAAATTAAGGGCCGTAATGACCTTATCAGCTGTGTGATCCTGAGATGCAGCAACTAGCAAATCTTCAAATAGGATATTGACAATATCGGATACTACCTAACTCAACAACCTCAGTTTGTTGAAACATTGCTCTTTTGGGAGATTGAGAAACTTGAGCCTCTGCCTGTGCGCTCTTGGAATTAAATGGCATCTCCTACAGCCGTGACCCCCCACCCCCCACATCTCTCTCCTGTGATTCCTCTTCTGTGTCTCCTCCTCCCATGTGCCTCCTACCTGTGCCCATCGTCCTGTGCCTCTTGTATCTCTTCCACTTGCGCCATTTCCTCCCATGCACTTCACTCATGTGTTGTTCTGTCCTGTACACCTCCTTCTTGTACACATCTCTTCTGTAAACACTGTTTTGTAAAACTCCCTGCCATGCGCTTCCCTCTCATGCCCCTCTGTCTTTGTGTCTACCTCTCGTGCATGCACTGATCCTGCCATAGCAAGGGATCACTGCTGTGGACGTTGATGAGCCCTCTTCTGGTGTGCTACAAATGCATCCCACATGCTAATCCTGATTTTACCTGTTTACTGCCTCCAAAGTTTAGAAAATGGTGAATCTGTGCAAGAACTCTCTGGAAAACAATTACGAGACAGGACTGGCACACCAGTCAGGATGAATTCACATTGGGCATTCAAAGTTCTCAACTGATCTGCTTCTTGATCTATTCTTCCCTTTATTGGCCAGTTTCCTGAACTCCAAGGAAACCAAACTCAAATTCAGTTATTTATACTATCCCAAGCAAATCATCTGGGTAGTAAATTTACCTCTGTGGTTTCTAACACCCTAACTGCCTGTAAAGCTGTAGGATACTGGTTACTTAGCTTGGAAAAGACAGTTGCGCTTATTAACTGGTCTTTCTTGTCATTGAGCCACAGATGATCAATAAACTATCACAGGCACTTCTAAAATTGTAAGCACTAGTAATAACCATAAGACCTCAGCACAGGGGACATTAGTGTTCTAAATTCTCACCAGCTCTCCACCTATTCATCTATGGGACCTCACTGAATATGGTGTGAGATTTGCAGCTGTGCTAATGGAACAGTGCATGTGAAGTAGACCCAATTTCATGAATGTAATGGCTGAGAGCCACTTCAGGAAGTGAAGGTTAGCTCTCTCTAAACTCTGTCCCTATACAGAGGAGAGTGCAACAGCATGTCTAGGAGAGGTTGCTGCAACAGTGAGTGATGTTTTCAAAACCAAATACATTCGGCAAATCTAAAGGGCAACCAAATATATCCGTAAAGTTTACATGCATCTAAATTACTATTATTACACTGGATATTGACAATAATTCTATGGCCAAAGTTCACTTTGCAGCTACAACTCATATTTGGACACATAATTTGGTCTAACAATATCAGTGCTCCTGATGATGCTAATATCTCATGAATACATTTGTTCATTTAATTCCAGGTGGTATATATACAGAAGAGAGCAAATTCACATGGGAGAAGTTGAATTGAATCTCTTCAAATGGTGAGAATATACAGTGAGCATGGTAGAGTCAGTTTGGTGGATGAGTCCAATTCAGAGCTAATAGCAACCTGCTCGTATTATTTCTTCTCTCGCTACTCACTCACTTATTTACTGTCCCACAGGGCTATACTCAAGTTCACACAATGCGATATTGATATGTGAGTACTATTTCAAGTGCTGTAACACAGCCAATGTTTTAGCATCTGTCCGACCTCTGTTTCATTGGCCTTTGAAAAGAAACCAAGCCAACTTGCTCAGTGGCATGGAAGAAGCTAGCATAACATGAGATCCTGTATAATTCACCCACCTGTTGCAAGCAACAACACAGATATGCTGGGAAGTCTTGGTAGTTGAACTTGAGGAGAGAACATTGCCTAAATCACTGATCACAAGTGAGGCAAAGCAAGTGGTGGGTGTTAGAGACGATCACAGGGTCTGTTTTTCAGAGAACTAAGAAGTAGCTTTTATTCAGCTGCTGAGTCAAGGGCCTTGATGAACCACGTTTGTTATCTAACAATGTTTGTTTCATAGTTATTTGAGCCTTAGTGCAAGGGTAGTTGTCACTTAATGCAATCTGTTAGTCATATGCAATCAAACTTAGAATGGAATAGGATCCAAGCACAATGGAAGTATCTCATGCATAACTGCTTATCTTCGGCTCAAACATACAACAGGCTTTCTGGTCTGACTTCAATAATAATAGGAATCTGGTGAAGGGAAAGAAAAACAATGTAGGCTTTCCTTAAAGCCATTGTTGTCTTGAGATCTGTACAAATCATTGGATATTTTGAAGATTACCCATTATTAGAGCATTAGTTGTGTAGACTTGACAAAAACTGTGATTTCATTTGATGGCCCACATCCAAACAATATCATTCCACACACACTAAAATGCTAGTACATATTTATCAAAAGCTAATGGACGTTAGATCATCTCCATGATTCAGCACAGATAGCACCTCAACTATTATTTTAAATTAATGTCTGATATAAATTTTAACCTAAACAGAATACTTGGCATCTTGAGTTGAAACATGCCGTATACAACTGAACAATAATGACAAACTACCCACAAGCTTTTCCAATAAGAATTAATTAACCAAAAATCAACACATTAATATCGAACAGTTCATTGAGATATTTACTAATAAACCCAGCAACACACTCAAAATGTTTCAAAAAATTATGTATTTATCAAATCAGCAATTGCCTTTTCTGTTTCCTGCTACTCTCATAAAAGTGTAAA